AAAAAAAAACCAAAACGAAACACCTCACTGCCATTAGGTTGATCACCAACTCATAGCGACCCTGTAGGACAGGGTAGAATTGCCCATGTGAGTTTACAAGACTAAGTCACTCGGAACAGCTGGTGATTTCGAACTGCTGACCTTGCGGATCACAGCCCAACTCATAACCCTGTGCTACCAGAGCAACCTATGTGACTACCCAGAATCACTTACAGTAATTGTGAGTGAATGAATGAATCTTATTCCCCTGTCTTCCCTGTGAGTCTTCATCACACCCATGCTGCAGATGAAGAAACTGAAGCTCAGTTCTCGGAAAGAAGTCACAGAGATAAGGGTTGCCAGAGCCAGGCCCGGAATCATCTGGGCGCGCAAAGGCTGTTCCTCTTTCTCCCAATGGAGACAGCCAATTATCGTAAGAGACGAAGGCACCGGGCAGTGTACCAGTCCAGAGACTGACTCATGCCTCTTGTGGAATGTTCTAAGCCTCCATCTCATTTCTCTGTTGGCCAACCAGGACCAAGAAGAGAAACTCTACCTACCTATGGGGTTGTTGCGAGGGTCCAATTGACCAGTTGTTTGAGCATGTGGGTCTCGTCAAGTGCGCATGTTAGTACCCATACAGAGGTCCAAGACTAACATAGAATTGGAACAGAAAATGCCCAACCAATTGCCTTTGCTCACTCTCTGGTGAGTCTTTCCAGCCAGTCTTTCAAAGACCATACACCAGTCTTCACAACTCACTTAATCCTCTTGGCGAGTCATAATAAGTATACACAGAAAAAAATGCTTTGCACTGGGTCTGGTACACATGACTCACTCAATCTATATGACTTGCTGTTATTCTCAGTGCAAAGCAAGAATGATAGGATGTCTTCTATCCACTCCCCCAAAAGGAAGGTCTAGGGAGTTTGTATCGGGGGACGTGGGGGTATGGGAGCCTTTTCATAACCAACGATGAACTCAGCAAACACGTTTGGAGTGCCTGCTAGGGTTCTAGGCATTGTGGACGCAGCAGTGGCAAGAACCAATGTGTTCCCAGCAAAATCCTGGAACTCCTATCCTATAGTGGTAGGAGAGGCAGACGGCCAATACATAGTAGGTATGAATCCATCAGGGAGTGCTCGTGTTATGCAGACAAAAGGCCCCTGGGTGAGAAAAACACAGGCAGGGAGGGGGTCATTTTAGATAAAGTGGTCAGGGTACACCTGCCAGCGGCCTCAGGTCAGAGGAAGCCACTGAGTTACAGGAGCAGAACAGCCCAGCACCTGCAAAGGTGTTGAGATGGGAGCATGGTGGGGACGTCCAAGGAAGGGACCAGAAGTCGGGCTGCAGAGGGGAGCCCTGGAGGAAGTAAGCGACGCGTTACATCCGAGAGGCATGAGGGCCAGGCTACCATGAGCTTTATAAAAATGCTGACACTTGCACCAGAACTAGCAAATGGAAAACTATAGGAAGCCTAGTTAAATTTGAATTTCGGATAAACAATGGAGATTTTTTTAAGCATGTTTCATGAAATGTTTGGGATGTGCTTATGCGAAAAGCTTCGTGATTGTTTCCTCACGTTCTGGCTTAATTGAGCATCCTGAATTTTATCTGGCACCCTGCTGGGGCGCCTCTCCCTGAGATTCTGTTTCTGTTGGTCTGAGGCAGCAGCGTTTTCGGATGTGTGTCCAGAGTGAGGAACCACTGAGGTAGGGCGGTGTCTGTCTAGGTACAGGTCTGGGTTGTAGTCTGCGTGAGAGGGAGAGTTGTAGCAGGATTTGGGTACATGGGGTGGCGTGCGTCCATATTTTAAAAGGATCCCATAGGCTGCCCCGTGGAGGACAGCTAGAGGGATAATAGTCGACACCAACCCAAACTTACTGCCCTCGAGTCAGTGCTGGCTCACAGCAACCCTGTAGCACAGGGTAGAACTGGCCCTGTGGGTGGTTTCTGAGACTGAAACTCTACTAGAGATAGCAAGACACAGGCTGTAGCAGCAAAGCACAGGTCAGAGATGGGGCCTGTATTTGTCTAGTGCAATAGTTCTCAACCTGTACATCTCGACCCCGTTGGGGGTCGAACAACCCTTTCACACAGGGCTCGCCTGATTCATAACAGTAGCAAAATTACAGTTATGAAGTAGCAACGGAAATAGTGGGTGCAGTGTAGCAATGATGAAACATACAGCTTTCCTCTAGTTCTTAAATGCTTCTCCCCACCCACTATCATGATCCCAATTCTACCTCTCAAATCTGGCTAGACCAGAGGCTGTACACTGGTACAGATAGGAACTGAAACACAGGGAATCCAGGGCAGATGAACCCCTCAGGACCAGTGGTGATACCGGGAGGGTGGAGGGAAGGTGGGGTAGAAAGAGGAAACCGATTACAAGGATCTATATATAACCCCCTCCCTGGGGGATGGACAGCAGAAAAGTGGGTGAAGAGAGACATTGGTCAGTGTAAGACATGACAAAATAATAATAATTTACAAATTTCAAGGGTTCATGAGGGAGGGAGGTTGGAGGAGGGAGGGGAAAATGAGCTGATACCAAGGGCTCAAGTAGAAAGCAAATGTTTTGAGAATGATGATGGCAACAAATGTACAAATGTGCTGGACACAATGGATGTATGTATGGATTGTTATAAGAGTTGTACGAGCCCCCCAGTAAAGTGATTTTTTAAAAAAAAAGAACAATTTTTTGGTTGGGGGTCACCACAACACGAGGAACTGTATTAAAGGGTCGCAGCATTAGTAAGGTTGAGAACCGCTGGTCTAGTGCCCGCTATAGGACAGGTGTGATGTTTCTGGGTGGTGCAAATGTTAAGTGCATTATTAGCTAAAAGGCTGGTGGTTCGAAACCAACCATAGACGTCTTAGAAGAAAAGTTCTCTCGATCTGCTTCTCAAAGGTCACAGCCATGGAAGCCTTTTAGGAAGCAGTGTTCTACTTTGCAGCACACGGGGTAAGTCGGCATCAGCTCACTGGCACCTGGTTTGATTGTTTGAAGAGTCTCATAACACAGGCACGGTAAAGGCCTTGGGTAGCGGAGGCATGGAAGAGACAGGTTACCAAACTCAGGATTTCTCAGCTGTGTGGGAGCCGCGGCATCTGTATTTTTAAACAATTCCTTTGGTGATTCTGATAATTAGGTTTAGGTCAACAAAACGATTAGATGTGAATTACCCCAGAAATGACAGAAATAACCAGGAATTCTTGTGGGAGGCGGTTAGTCTGCCACCTTTCCTTGTGACCTGCGAATGAACCTTGTGTTTAGAGCCTGATGTGTTGGCCTGGCCTCTTGGATGAGATGAGAGTGTGGGGGCACCTTGACCTAGAACACCTTCTTCCCTGTTTGCCCAGCACAGATGTCAACACCCCCAGGTACTTCTTAGCCAACTGTGTGCCTTCACAGCACCCAGCCAACCCTGCTGCTGTCTCTACTCCTGGCCAGGAGGGAATGGGGTTCTCTGACTGCTTCACAAGGTGGATACGTGGGTGTCTCTGTGGCCGAAGCATGAGACTGGCTGGCAAGGGGCCTGTGGTAGTTATATACTCTGGTGTCAACTTGAGACCATTAAGAGAAGGGGTAGATCTATTTCCCCATTGTCTACATAAATATATTTACATATGTTCATGCCTGTATTTAGACCTCTATAAATGCCCTTTGCCACCTAGTTATTTGTGCATATATTTGTAGGTTTAGTACTAAGGTAGCAGATGGACATTGAGCCTCTATTCAAGTACCCCCTCAATGCAAGAACATTTTGTTCTATTTATCTGGCATTCTGTGATGCTCACCTTCCTTAGTACTAAGGTAGCAGATGGACATTGAGCCTCTATTCAAGTACCCCCTCAATGCAAGAACACTTTGTTCTATTAAACTGGCATTCCATGATGCTCACCTGCCCAACACGATTGCTGAAGACAAAGTGGGTGCATAAACAAATGTGGTGAAGAAAGCTGGCGGTGCCCGCTATCAAAAGATATAGCATCTGGGGTCTTAAAAGCTTGAAGATAAACAAGTGGCCATCTAGCTGAGAAGCAACAAAGCCCACATGGAAGCAGTACACCAGCCTGTGTGATCATGCGGTGTCGATAGGATCAGG